TGGGAGTAGCAGGGCCTCTAGTGTCTTCGCGACCGGGGAAAGGAGCGTTCTTTGTTGGCGGGCTTCCCCGGTTTCAGCAGTGGGCCCACTCTCCCCGATTTCCACACATCAGGAATGATGAGAGTGGCCATAGACAGGTTGAGGACCTCTGTTAAGTAAGCTACTCCCGTAGGCCGCAAATGTTTCAGCATCAACATACACATTGCGTCGGGTCCAATGGCTTTGGAGGCTTTCGCCTTCCCGATAGCCCCTTCACATCACAGCTGGTGAAAACAAGTGGGCCACTGTTTTTTGGCAGCTTATCCAGCCTCCTAGTCACTCGACGTTTGGTCCTGTCTGCCGAAGGATGCAGTGTGAATTGCCTACTGAAGTAGGTTGCGCATTTCTTCGGATCCGACGAAGCGCGACCTTCGAATGAGATTTCCACTTTGTCATCACGCTTCGATGGGTTAGACAAGGACCTCACGGTTGACCAGAGCTTATCACCAAATGTGAAGTTACAGGCCTTCAAGTGCTGCTCCCACTTTTTCCGCTTGTGCTGATTTACCAGTTGACGAATCTCCAAATTAAGGTCCCTCAGACGAGGGTCCCCGGGATCGACCTGGCGTAGGTGGTCACGCTCATTTGCTAGTAAAGCTGCTTCGGCCGGGAAATTAGGGCGGACTTCTGCAATACGTCCGGACGGGATGAACCGACCGGCTGTGGCAGTGACTACCCTGCGGATCTGGTGTTCGCCAGCATGTACGTTTGTGTGTGTGGGAATGGCGGCGAAGCTGCTCTCGGTAATTCCGCGAAGCCGTCCCAATCAGCTTTGTTAAAGTTGGTGTAGGTTCGGTAATCCGCGGGAGCAAAGTCGGTGGGCTTGTTGATCGAGATGATAATGGGTAGATGGTCGCCATGATATGCTATTAATCAGACCAGCGCTAGCAATTGTAAGGTCCGGCGAGCTGCTGCAGCTACCCACAATTCTGGTGGGGTCGTCGTCGTTCATGGTGCTGAATGTCGAATCGTCAACTGCTCAGCCAAAAGATTTTCTCTACGATCATTGGCCAAGCTTGAGTGCAAGAGATCATAGTGCGCGTTGAAATCACCTACTACCATTCGGTGTCACCTACTACTGCAAAAGGTGTTCAGCCCCTCTTCTTCGGCAACACAGAAAGGAGAATTCTACAAAGTGAGGGTTATAATCCCAGTTGTTGTTGTTGTAGCGGCTACTAAACCCCGCTCGGGTCGGTTGATGCGCCAACGTTCTCGTCCGTTTCAGATAAGAGGGGCTCAGGAAATGCGCGACTTCGACAGGGTCTGTCCATAAGGACAGGGGCGTTAGCTGTGTGGGGTTCACGGGCCATGTGAAGAGGTGCCGAGAGTCATGTGGCGACTCTCCACATGCAGAGCGTTAGTTGGGCACATCCTCATAAATTCTGCTCAGGTATGAGTATAATCTGCTGCAATAGTCAGAGCGAAGTTGGGCTATTGTGGTGTGTGTGTAAAGTTCTGTCCCGTCGACGTCAGGTGGTTGTGTGCATAGAACGGCATTCACAGTGCCGGAGTCTACATAACTTGAGAGCGATTCTCTGTGAATGCTACTCAGGGCCTGTCGATAAGTTGGAGGGTCCAAAGTTTTTTAATGAACCTCTAAACTTCGTCCGTCAGTTCGTAGAGATGCCTCCTAACGTGCCTTGGGCTCTTCTGCAAGCAGCTGTTTGTTAGGATGATAACATCTGTGGCTCCCCACAAGAAACTGCTTGCAGAGCATTGTGTTATGCTCCTTGAGCATCTGGATTTCGTCGCGTAGATCGTGATGGGGCGTCATCAGGAGGCATCCGGTCGCTGACCGAAGTGCCGCATTCTGGCAGGTCTGTAGCTTCATCTACTGCGTCCTGCTAGTCCCAGGCGACCACACGGGTGCTGCATAGTTTAGAACCGCCGGCCAATTGCCTTGTATGTTGCCAACAACGTATCTTTGTCTTTGTCCCAAGGGCTGCCGGCCAGCGACTTGAGGAAATTGTTGCGACTCTATACTTTGTTGACAATTGCAGTTGTATGCGCCGAGAACAGCATACTGTTGAAGGTGACTCCGAGGATTTTGGTGTTGTTCACCGTCGGTATTGTTACGCCATCGGCGTGAATCCCAAGCTGTAGACTGACCTTCTTCGTCCAGGTGGTGAATAGGGTTGCCGAAGATTTTGCAGGGGATAGGGCTAGGCTCCTTGCAAAGAAGCGAGAAAGTTCGGCGAGATAACCGTTTACTTTCGAGCACAAGTCATCAATTCCATTCCCACACGCCATAATCGAGCAATCATCCGCATAAGAGCCAATACTGACTCCCTTTAGTGGATGAGGGAGCTTTGAAATATAATAATTAATCAATAGCGAGGATAGGACACCACCCTGTGATAGCCCCTGTTTCATTTTTCTTAGTTTGCTGGTTTTGTCCCTAAAAATTACTGACGAGTGTCTACCACTCAGATAATTCGCCGACCACCGTTTGATTCGCTGTGGGAGTGATGAGGCCTCTATGTCTTCTAGCAGCGTTGAATGACTGACAGTGTCGAACGCCTTGGACAAGTCCAACGCTAGATAGTTCTCTCACAGGGGCGGTTTCGGTTAAGGCACGAGTTATGTGGGTGTTTATGGCGATAAGTGCTGTTGTTGTGCTGTGGGTTCCGTCCATGCTGATGCTTCGCTGTGGACAGATGGTTCTTGAAATACGGGAGTAGCAAGGCCTCTAGAGTCTTCGCTAACGGGGAAAGGAGGGTTATCGGTCGATAAGAATCTCCTTTCTTGGCTGGTTTCCCCGGTTTGAGCAGTGGGACCACTCTCCCTACCTTTCAGATGACTGGGATGATGAGAGTGGCCATAAACATATTGAGGTTAGGTACGCTACTTCCGCAAGACTCAAATTTTTCAGCATCAACATGCATATTCCGTCGGAACCCATGGCGTTGGAGGCTTTCGCCTTCCCGATGGCCACCTGAACTTCACCGCTGGTGAAAGCAAGGGTGGCACAAGTTGTTGGCAGTTTGTGCGGCCTTCTGGTAACTCGACCTTTGGTTTATCCACCGGAGGATGCAGAATGAACTGCCAGTTATAATCCCTAAGCGCGGCCGCCTACGCAAAATAGAGTTGAACGCAAAAAACTGTTTTCTTAGTGGGTGAAATAGTTAAAGTGATTTCGGTCAGTCTTGCAAATTTAACAGTTAATAACTTTGGTAACTATCTAGGTGGGCTTTTAACCCCTAACATTTATCAAAATTTATGAAAGGGGGCACCATTACACACGTCTGGACCCCAGTAACAAGAATCCGTAAAAATTACCTTTTTTACCCGATCAAAACTTTTCAACAATAGCGCCTTTTTTATTCCCTTACTAGACTCACACAAACGCACAAATTGCCCATATTTCGCCATATATATAATAACAATACTTTATTTTAGCCATATATATGAAAATATCGCTAAATATATCACTAAAAACTTATAATGTAAACAATTTTGGTGTGCTCATCGCGAAATTCACCTGCTGATGCGCGGTATTGCAACTCAACCTGAATGCAATAAATATTGAATATGTTTACACGGAGTTCAGACTGTTATGTGCGATAATTAACTGTGGAAATAACTATGTAGTTAAAAAAAATCGCGCGATTTTTTATTACCAATTTTCAATATATATCGAAGTATCGATTTTTATTGAAAAAAGCGCCGCTGGCGAAAATTTGTGAATTTTGCGTTAAGCACACCCAAATTGCTTACTTTATAATAAATAAAAAATGTAAGTTAAAAGTGATATATTTAACTACATTATGACATATATGGCTAAAATTAAGTATTACTGTTGTATGTATGGTGAAATATGGGCAATTTGTGCGTTTGTGTGAGTGTAGTAAGTGAATACAAAAGTTGCAATGTGCTTTTTTGTTAATAACTTTTTATCGGGTAAAAAAAGTTAATTTCCGCTTTCGGATTCTTGTCACTAGGGTCCAGACGCTTCTAAGATATCCTCTTTCCTTCTTCACTTTTAGAATGCGGATACAGCCATCACAACCCTCATACCCCGTTTTTTCTGAAGAGTGCACTATATCGAAATTATCCCCAACTTCGTTTAGGGGGTTTGGGTTGTACAAATAACTAAGTATTTCCTATTAATTGTTTTGGTTTAGTTGAAATTAGTGTGTAAAGTACTATCGATCTCCATTTTCCGTTTTTTCATGCATAAATGGTTAGTATTCCAGACGTATGCTAAAATTACCCAATACATATTCCACTTGCACAACCCATAATACACACCGTCCGAGGTAACCAATCAACAAATGGCTTAAACATAGTCATAAGAGGGTGTCTGCGAGCAACACGGGTGAAAAATTATACAAATGGTCACCAGCAGCACCGTAGTTTACTAGCAACAACCGAACAATAAAAGCCCAACTTACATTTCTAGAAAAACCACTTTTTCATAGAAATTGTTTTTTAGGTCGCCTTGGACTCATTTTTCGTTTTTTCTTCTATACCACGCTCACTTCACTTCTTTTCTTGCTTATTGCTTCCATGCTGCTTCTTCGCAATTGTCTGCCTGCTCTTTCTCTCTCTTGAATTATTTGGCGTTGGGCTTTTTCTTCAGTAAATCCATCGACGATCAGCAACAGCGGCTCCACGCTCCACTCCAAAACACAAACACACGCATTCGAAACCAAATACACAAACTCGACACATACAAACGCATACTTATTTTTCTGTTCATAACTTCTTTCGCAATTTCCTAGTGCTGCATCATCACGAACTCGCCATCACCAACAATTTTAAATATGTACATTAAAATAAAACAAATTAATATTTCCCCTACTTGTTTTAAACACAGTTTCGCAAATAATGTTAATCGCAACTGCTTTGAAAGATTTTTCTTCGATTACCAAGTTTCGGATTTCCTTTGTTTCTCACAAAATTTCATGTATTTCGTCACGATTTTTTGCTTTCACCGTACAGCCACTTCCTAAGCTTACCTTTGCAGTATTTTTTTTTTTTTAATAAGCACGCTATTCTGCTCCTTCCTCTTGGCTTGCTTTTACTTTCGTCGTTCACACCGTTCAGCACCGAAATGCACACCTCACAATTTCTTCTTCCGCTACTTTTCTCCAAAATTTCGTTTCGGCTATTTCTTTCCTTCTTTCACTTTTATTTTCTATCTATTCGTTTCCTTTTTCACGATGAAAATTTGCCTTACTTTGCAAATAAATTATTCCCAATTAATTATATCACAATGAATAGTGCAATAAGATTTACAAAATTTCCACTTGTATCAGATTCTTTGATGCAACCGACGAGAAAAATATTCAACTTCGTCACCGCCTTTCAGTAACAGCAAGAAAAACAAAATGAAAGTCAACCTTCTTTCCTTTCGATTTTGCATAACAATTCGTTTACATTGAGAACACTTTAACAGAGTTGCATTTATTAACTGGCCGGCCACACGTGCAGGTGCAAGTCGGAAAACTCAAAACTTTCCCATCAAGGGGAATGTAATTGTAACCCTGTCGATGTGGCTGCGCTATTCAGCACTGTCATAACGGCGCGTTTTCATTGCGTCGCCTGCTTAAAAGATTGTCGCAAGTTAATTTCGACAGATTTTGGGAAATCGTGATTGAAGTTTGGAATGCAATTTCTCAAAAAACGCGAAGATAGATTTTCACCAAAATCTCTGAGAATGTTTCTAGTTCAGAAAATTCTTAAATTATTTAGTTTTTATTGTTTATTGTTAATAAGTTTCGAGTTTATGAATGATTTTATTGAATAAAATTTTGTTGTATTCGACATTTGTCCACAATTTGGCAGCCACTTTGTATGAAACACGAGAAATTGTGATCAAAATTTGTACTAAATTAACGATACTTATTACTCAATATCTTGCAAACTAAAGGAGATATCTGAAAATGGGTAACGTCATGACTGCATTATCAAATAAATTTTTGCAAAATTACCAAAAAAATTTTACACAATATCTCGGAAACTAAAGGAAGTATCCAAGTAACACCAATTGAAAGATCTGATCTTAAAGTATAAAACTGCATCAAAAATCGTCAAATCGACAATCTTTTATCTAGCTTTAGGTTAACACCGGAAAATACTGTCATGACAATAGGCATGTTTTATTCAACCATCACAAGCTAATAGCTAAATCTTGGTCAAATAAAACAAAATTAGCTTATTTCCTATGTTAGCCTAATTTTGACAGTTGTTTGACTGCAAATATTCCAGAGCGGCAAATGCTGACTCCATAAATTAAAAATCAAAGATGAAAATATCGAAAAGGTGAAAAGTGTCAAGTACCTAGGAATATACATAGACAACAAACTAAAGTTTGATGAGCACGTTGAGTATACAGTCAACAAGATTGCTAAAAAAATTGGCCTTATAAAGAGATCGTGTAAGTACTTGGGAAGAAGATATAAAACGTTGGTGTACAGGTCAATAGTAGAACCGCACTTTATATAATGCCCCACGATTTTCTTCCTAGCGGGGGACTCCCATGTAAAAATGGAGTTGCATTTAGTTGCATTTAGGTGACGAATTTTATATGGATAAATGTACATTTAGAGTAGAATTTAGAGCTTAATGCGCTAAATGTGCTTTTACGCGTAAGCAAAAACAGCCCAAAAGATTGTTTGCTTGAAGCCGCATCTGTATATATATATGTATGTAAGAGTGAAAACTATCAATGGTGCTTACAAAACCATCGATGTTTTCGATCATCATCGACCATCAAAACTATCCACTGCATGAAAATTAGTGGGAAAACTGACTAAAACTTTTCGTCAGTTTAGCGGTTAGTTTTGTATGGGCTTGGGGAAAAAAGTGATGGCAGGGAAATATCACAAAATAGATGAAACAAAATTAAAAAATGCAATTCGATTTAGTTTATGTTTTTGTTTTATTTGTAAAAATATATTCTCGAATATTAACTTAATTTCGCAAGCTTTTTTAGAGCTACTGAGCGCAGACAATTCTCCTAATTTTTCCTTGTTTCTGAATTTTCGTCGCTAAAAACAAATTCCTCAGCGCCGTTTGGTCCTTCTACCTCCATTCCTTGGTTCTGCTGGATTCCCATATTGGCGTTGCATTGTATTTCAGCACTGTAGTCACTGATTCCACAGTCGGCCTAAGCGCACTGGCCTCAAATTTTTTCTTCTCTATCGGCATAGCGTTAAAAAAGGTTTTTTTGCTCATTTTTTATATACAAATTGAATACACTGATTTTTATCAATTGTTTCTTTGAATACACCGACTTCTTCTATATTTTGCACCACAGCTAACGGGCTGTTTTTGCTTACGCGTAAAAGCACGTTTAGCGCATTTAGTTCTAAATGCTACTCTAAATGTACATGTGCTGTAGGATAGCGGGTTTAGCATGCCGGGAAGTCATGGGTTCGAATCCCACTGCCAAGCAACATTTTTTTTACATAATTTTTTATTTTTTAAATATTATTTAATTTTTTGTTTTTTAATTATAATTGTTCTGGCCTTTTTAATTATAATTAAACTCCAAACAATTTTATTAACAACGAAATAATTATATGAAATACCATAAACGAAAAAAATAATAAAACAAAATGATTATGTTGCTTATTGGCCGTTGAGTATAATTTAATAATTATTATTGAGCTATAGGCCGTATGTTAAATAAAACATTAAATGTTTTTCTGTTTTATTTACTTTTTTATTTTTATTTTGGTCGATATTTCGCCTTCCGTCTGAAGGCATCTTCAGGACTAAAAAAAGGAAAACAATATTTTTACATCATCACAATAGGTGCGTTCGTTTAAAATCTCCAGCAGAAACCAACCAACTGCCAAATTCCGGCGAAATGTCATCTGTTCGCTCACAAGAGAGAAATATCCAAAATAGTACGCGAACAGAAAATTTGCAGAAACTTGCAAGTTAGACGAACAGCTGATATAAATTTTGTTTACATTCAAAAGTGTAAAATTTAAAACGTACGAAAAGTTATCACAAAGTGTTATACTGACACAGTTTATTGATTAAACAAATAACTACTTATTTCTTACAAGTTTAATTAGTCGCATTTTGTAATTTTTAACTTCCAAACCATTAAATTCAATTTTGTGATTTGCGTAAATGCCAACCAGCTGTTTTTGATCAGCTGTTTTCCTGTTGGCAAATTGCTGTTGGCAAAAATTTTTCCAGCAGAAACCAGCAGCTTCCCCTCAAAATGAAATGTCACTTTGCTCTCTCAATTTCCCCTACTTTGCAAGTTTTTTGCGTACGCGAACGCAAAAACTTGTAAGTTTTGGTTAAACATGAACAATTAACAACTACGCGACCGAACCTAATATAAACCAACAAAAACATAAATATGCACAAGTGCATTAAAACGACTTACACTATTAGCTTTGTCCGGTCGACTAATCATATGTTAAAATGTAAAATAACAGACAAGCACGAAGAAGATATTAAACATAAACAGGAAAACTAATAATTAAAATACAGTAATTGTAAACAAAAATTGTATACAAACAACAATACATAAAGTGCTGAACAGTAAGACTAAGAAATGTTTGTATGTCATCACAACAGAGCAATGTTGTTGTCCGAAGAAATCTTGGCAGCAGACGGACGACATGAACCAAAAATACAAGATCACGTAAGAACGCGACGTTGTATTTGTAACTGGTTTTGAGAAAAGTTTGCGAAAGCGGTTTCGTCAGCTGGGCGTTTGTTTACATCACAAGCACCACTATTTTACACTTTTATTCAAGTAAAGAAGAGTTAATTCAACATGACAACACATTTTAAAGCATTTTGTTGCATCATTTTACCTAAATTGTGCGTTTAAAGTGGCCGACAATAATTTTGGCTAATTTTGGTTTTCGTTGTTTTCTTTGCTTTGTTTACTTTTCGCTCGTTTTCCAGTGAAACAAGATGGCGTAGAACCCGCTAAAAAAATCGACTTTTTTCACTCTCTTGTTCTTTCGTGATCTTGTGTCTTTCGTTCATGGACGGACGATGAGTTAAACATGAACACACGATCACACGTCACCTACACTGTAGGTTTGTTCTTGTGCGTTAGAACTAAATTCCGATAAACGTGAGCGCAATTGTCGGTGTCCGTTTTATAGTTCATCCTTTTGTGATTAGGGGTGTTCATAATATGTAGCATCTCTAAAACATAGCGTTTATTATAGATTTTCTCTTCTTGCAAGATTGCTACTTTATCAAAGTCGGGATAATGTCCCGTATCCTGGCAATGAGATGACAAGGCTGTCTTATTGTCCGCCGAATTATTCCTCAACTTAATGTTTGATTTGTGAGCGGAAATCCTTGTCTTTAATTTCGATTTTGTTGTCCCCACATATACCATATCGCATACGTGGGACGCGTCGCCACTGCATGGTATTCTATAAATTACATCAGACTTCTCATTTATTGGAATTTTATCTTTGGTATTTGAGTAAACTTGTTTCAGCGTATTGTCATAAGTAAACGCTATGCGGAAATTGTCCTTGTCATATATTTTTGAGTATTTAATTCTCTCAGATAATCCTGGTACATATGTTGCCGATTTATACATTTGGTTGTTCCCGTCACTATTTGATTTCTCTTTACCGGTCTGGACATAGAAGTCGCGGATACGCTAATTAATTAAGCAATGTGGAAATTCATTTTTCCGCAGGATATCTTTGATAGTGGCAATGTTCTTCTTATGATAATTTTCGTCACTTATCATGAGGACTCTTGTTATAAAATCTTTGGCGGTATTTCGAATTATTTTCTTCTCATGTCTCGAGTTAATATTAATGAGCCTCACTGATGCTGTAGGTTTCTTATACCAGTCAACTGTTAATTTGTTATTTTTCCTTATTATAAGGGTGTCCAGGTAGGGTAATTGTCCATCTTTTTCTATTTCTAATGTAAATTTTATTTTCTTGTAATTGTTTAGTGTGTTAAGCATCTTGTCAATATTTTCTGTTTTAGCAATTGCAAAGATGTCGTCGACATATTTAGTTAGTAATCGGGGTTTGCTTTCGGCGTCATTTTCAAATTTGATTAATAATTCCTCCATTACTATGTCTGCGATAACCGGTGAAGCGGGGGAACCCATAGGCATTCCTGACTTTTGCTCGTAAATCTTGTCGTTATATTTGAAATAGCGATTCTCTTTAATGCAAAATTCTTAACCATATTGAAATATTGGTGAGATATTGGTGTAATTTTGGCTAATTTTGGGTTTCGTTATTTTCTTTGCTTTGTTTACATTTCGCTCGTTTTCCAGTGAAACAAGATGGCGTAGAACCCGCAAAAAAATCGACTTTTTTCACTCTCTTGTTCTTACGTGATCTTGTGTCTTGTGTCGTTCATGCAGGTTTACCAC